CATATATGTTATCTCATTTAATCTTTTAAAAGAGGTTATAATCAATCAATATAATCAAAGTTTTATTGAATTAACCTTTGCATCTCTCTTTTATCCAGAAGTATAACACTGTGAAAAGAAAAAGAGTGAAATGTGTTTTATAATGTTTTTCTTAGTAATGCCTTATTAACCATGGTTTTTTTTTCCCAGGGTTACCCCTACACTGCTACAGCTGATGTATATTTGTTGTCAAAATACCTTTTAGTACATATGTTGTTAAAATAAAATGAACAGTCCAATGATCATTTTACTGATATGTATAAAGACTGCAAAGGCTGAAAAATCTTGAAGTCTGTATGAAATTGGAGGTAATTTGAGGATTAAATTTTTTATGCTTTTCAAGCTCAAAAAAGGAGGGGGGTCGTATTATACATGAGATTGTATGATACATTAATAAATACGGTAATTCCCCCCCTTAAGAATATTATGTGTAATTTGTTTATTTGTTTCTTCTCTTAGTTTGTTCAGATTTGTTTAGTCCAATTTCTTGTTCTTAATAATTGTGCATTTTTGTTGTATTTATATTTTAGTATTTCGTTACTTTTTAAACATCATAGCCACGGGACTACTGATGAAAAATTGACTTTTGGCTAATTCTAGATTTCTTAACTAATGAACTGTCTTGTGTTTTATTAAATTGCACCATTTTCTTTCAAATGAAAAAAATCAAAATCAAATTGGGTTGCAGCAGACTRTAATTATTCAGTGTTCTTTATTTGTCCGTTAGGTTTATTGTCAGCTGTTTGCTTCAAATCCATTCAGTTTGACTTTAAACTAAATGTGGTGCTCATTATGTTTTTCAGCTTTATCTTTTCTTTTTTCCAACAACTCACTGACCGGTGACGACTTCTCTTTCAGCAGCTCGGTGCAACCCCCCGACTGCTTTAACAATTAGCTGGGAGAGGAGAGTCTGCAGGCTACAGCTAAATGAGGTTCCCTCGTCCCCAGCTTTCAGCGGGGGAATACGACCCCATTTTGCCAGTTAACGGCTGCTCCACTTCCACGGGTCTCTGGGCGCAGCCTGTTCTAGCTCTGTGATATTATTTTGGTTTTGTGGGGGGGCAACGCTTCAGGGTACGCAGAGCAGGAGTGGTGAGCTGTGGCGAGAAACCAGGACGTCTGAGGTCGGATTGGTCAGCCTAGTGAATGAAACGCACCAGCGAGCCCTGAGTGTGCCGGTGTCGCTGATGCTCTGGACTCTAATTGGCTGGATGAGAGATCATTTAGATGCTTTAAAAAAGTTCTGTTTGAGGGTGTAGCAAACTGAACAGGAGAGGAAGGAAGAAGTGCAAAAAGTGCGGCTGTACTACTTWTTAGACAGAAGAGAGGCAGGGATGATGCATTTCTCTGTAATGAGCTTTTGGGGTCAGAGTTTTGTCTGCTGAGGGGTTTTAGCTCCATCAACCTCAATGTGTTCCTCATCTGGTGTCTCAGTGACAGCCTACCATCTGCTCTGAAACCTGAGAGATCACTGCTGAACAGTGGTCCATCCATCCTTACCTGCTTTTCCTATCCAGGTCACAGGAAAGCTGGTGTCTACCTCCACTAGTCACGTTAGCCCCATCACTATTATCAAACCTCACTCAGTTCAAGTCTGTCTGGTTCTGCTCAKGTGTGTCTTYRTGATAGTATGTCCCTCACTCTGTGGACGGACCATCAGCACAMGGATAAGCTGTTGTGGTTTTATCGCCATGTAAAGATKTTTTCAGTTTGGGAAGTCTGAATAATACTCAGAAAACCGATTAAKTCCTCARTTCCCTCCAAGCCTGTGGCYGTGTTTCAKTTCAGGGRTTGCAGCCCAYGTAGAGCACATTTGTTGTCGTCACTGCCCMGCGCTGTAAGCTGTCTCAKTTTATAGGYGMCTACTCATGAGTCCGACAAATGCAGCTGGCAAAAGCCCGAAAACGCAGGCTGCATCTGAGTACCACTATGCGGCTGATGAGATCCCCAGATTCATTGCGTGGTCACGCAAACATACGTCATCTTTAGACTATACAGTCTCACTTCACAGGTGTTTATGCAGCCCACAGTGGCGTGCTATGGCCCACGTAGGGTGTGGTCTACATGGACTCCAAGGCACGACTTGAGACGCAGCCTCTCTGTGGCTTCGGAGGTCTAAACAAAATGTCTAGGATCATCGCATGTTCTCATAATATYTATAGAAAACCTGATCGCACCCACGTTGGGTGGTCCCTCTTACATTAGCATTGTAATGCTTGAAATGCTAATCATTATGTTTACCCTGCTGGAGCGAGGCACATGTTAAGTAGTACTTGTTGATTCTCTTACAGTTTAAAGTAAATGACAACCGATCGCAAAGCACACTGGGACAAACGAGACAAACCATTCACTCTCATCTTCATGTAGGGGGAATTTAGAGTTACCAATCAACCCGACATGATAACAATAAAAACCTACCCTCAGTCTATGCGTGAATTTCCCTTTTTCTCCCACAGAAATATCAAACGAAGTTCATAGAAGTTAAATCTAAAATAAAATGTGATTTTCTCATTCAAGCTTTCCTTTTGTTGAAACGTTTTTCAGCGGACGAGGGTGAGATGGGAGTGCGCCGGTTCGTGCGGGAGGTGGTGACTCAGTGGAGGAGCCTATCCATGGAGGTGCGCAGCGTGAGGAGCATGCTGGAGGAGGTCCTGTCCAACTGGGAGAGGTACGCCTCCACCGTGGCCTCCTTACAGGCCTGGCTGGAGGACGCAGAGGAAGCAACGAGCCAGCCCGAGCACGTTAAACGGGTACGACTCTCATTAAAACGGGAAACTGAACCCCTTTCTTTTCTTCTGCAAACACATTAAGAGTTGTTCTCAGAAAAGCCCTCAGAGTAGCAGTGAGCAGTCAAATTTACACCAGTCTAGTTACACGTGGAATCCTATTAGCGGTCTCCTCTGAAGGATCGCACGGTCTCTTTGACTTACAACAAGCCGTGGAGAATGTTCCTGTTGTCCCATCACCATGGTTACTGCAGATTCACATCCTCACCCAGGATTAGACAGCTAATTACCCCAGTTATACTGTCTCTCCTTTGTTTCTKTCATTGAATACTTTTCTTTGTCTCTTCCTTTTTTTGATTAGCTTTTTCCGCTTCATTTTTTGACACTTGTTCTTTGTTTTTCTGAAATCTTTTGTGCCCTTGTCTCCATTTTTTTTCCTCTTTAATCTATTATAGTATACCGTAGTTACTTTTGGTTTTGTTTTTTTTGTTTTTTCTCCTCCAGGAGTTCTTCAGGAATCTCAGCCACTGGACGGATCAACACGCAGCCATGAACGACGCGGGGAACTTTCTCATCGAAACGTGCGACGAGACCGTGTCGCTTGATCTGAAGCAGCAGCTGCTTCTTTTGAACGGTCGATGGAGAGACCTCTTCCTCCAAGTCAAACAAGTAACAGTAAAACTATTTGCATTGCTTTRAACCAGGGCTGTCCAAACGTTTTGTCACATGGGACAAAATCATAAACTCAGAAGGACTTGAGGGTCAAAAATATTATTCCTTTAACGTCTCAACAATAAACTAAACATTGAATACTTTAATTAAACAAATAAAGTAGTCAGATTTATTGCTGGAAATGGATGCATAAATTAATCTAGATCCAGAACTTTAAAAGTGTTTTGCAGGTTTCCCTTATTGAAAGAAATTTTGCAATTTTCTAGGTTTCAATTGAGGAAAAAAAAAAACAATGTAGTCAATTCTGATTTATAAAATCAGGATTTAGGTCACTTTTTTGTTGAAAATGCTTGCTGTATTCAGATAAATTTAATAAAACAATTAAAAGCAGATTGGAGTGCAGCAAAGTCAGCTTCTTAATAGAAGTCACTAAATAAATGTGGAAAAAGCTAAGAGTCTGGTTATTTAAAGGCAAAAAATCTATTTTGTTGCCAATATTTTTTTTATAAGATTTTACTTTGTGATAAATTTGCCCTAATAATAAATAAAGTCTCCATGTATATCAAACACCTGTGCCGGGGGACAAATTTGTAAACAAATTAGTATAATTCTTGAACTGAAGTCAGGGGCCACACAAAATCTGTTCAGGGGCCACAAATGACCCCCGGGCCACACTTTGGACTGCTTTAAACATTAGCAGCACTTGTCTCGGATCAAAAACTTTGCATGTTTCTCATGTTTTTTCAGTACACACATTCAGATGAGGTGGAAAAATGGAGGCAGGGTCACCTGAAGGCCGTGTGGACCCTGAAAGAGCTGCTGGACACCGCAGAGGCCAAGTTAAACGCTCCTGTTCAGGTGTCTTTCCTCAGCGTTCGAGCCTTCCTGCAGGACGTGGAGGTGAGAAAAACAGGTGGTCATATTAAGACAATTGGGCAAGTTCAACCCAATAAATATGCAGGAAAATCAAATGATTTATCAGCTGCTGTTAAAATATTGCAATAGCAATGTCTACATTTGTGTTAAGCATCACTCCATCATTCACCCAGCTAGTAAAACCTTCCAGTCTGCTTTAAAAGTCTAAGAAAAGTGAAATTTTTTAACATTTATTACCTTTTACTAATGCATTAAAATGAATCTCACCACCTATATTTTACACAGTTTCTAACTTAAAGTAAAAAAGTACAATTAATGATGGTTATCAACCACTGACATTAACATATAAAACTTTCTTTTTACATTAAAGACCCTGATCTATTGTCTGCAGGAAAGGTATTTTTCTAATACATTAGTTTAAAGTGCCTGTGACATGCTTAATACTTCAAATACAAAAAGACAAACATCATTTATATTTAAGAAACTTTGCATAATACACACGATTTTACCCATTTTGTCACATTTGGCATATTTTCCTTTGAACTTGGCTCAGTCAAAGTGAAACAGGAAGTGACATCAAAGGGGAACTCTCTGCTCTTTGTTTATTGAAGCTATATTATTTGAACTCTCACTCTTCTTCATCTCTCTGATAGTGATTTAAAATAATCTAAAGAATCAGTTGATTCTTCTCTAGTCTGTGTTGTTAACCGTTGTAACAAAGCTCTGTTTTCATGCAGACATTCCCCTTTGACATCACTTCCTGTTACTTCACATGYRCATATCTCAACAACTGTTCATCTCAGTGACATGAAATTTCTTTTGCAATACTTGATCAATGTTATCTTTCCAAAAATGCATTCATATGTAGTACAAAAGTTTGACGTCACAGGCACTTTAAGTTGAATATATCATATTTCAGAAGTTCAAATAAACTTAGCACAAAATGTAAGGAAACAAGTGGCTATATATATATATATATAAATATGGCAATTTTTTCATGGCAACCTACATATTCAGCTCTACTGCTCATCCCACAAGTGCATGTTCCTTACAAATGTGGCACCAATTAAAAGAGAAATTGACAGGTTTTCCAATGATTTTACTGTCAAAAAGAATTGTTACAACAAAGAAATGATCTAACAAACACTTTACTGCTCTGCACTATTTTCTGTTAATTTATTGAACCATAAAAAATGGATTCCAAAGTCTCATACGACCTTTTTACCTGAACGCCTCATCTCAGAGTACCAAGCAAAAGGATGCCGCCATGGAGACGCAATACAAGTTAGCCGCCCGCAGCGCTCAGCTTCTGGCCAAGGATGCGCCGCAGGATGAAGCTACCAGGGTCGTGGCAACTGTGGCAGCAGCCAAAAGTCAGATAAGCAAAGTGAGGTTCTTTTTTTTTTTCATTTGGTGACGTTTAGTGTTTGGATTCTGTAGCTTTACACGCAGCTTTTTTCGTTTTTGATGTTGATGTTTAGGTGAGAGAACGGTGTCCCTCCCTGGTGAGGGAGTGTCACCTCCTTCTGCCTCTCCTGGAGGAGATGGAGAAACACAGCAGTGCTTTTTATCAGGCTCTGGAGAGAGCTACAAGCATCATGTCTTCTCCTTGGGATTCGAAGGCTCCTGCTCAACAAAAACACAAGAGTCAGGTTAGATTTAACGCCAGTGTTTGAAGTTAATTTACCAAACCCTTTTTTTAAATCAGTTTGTTGGATTAAAAGAAAACAATTCGTTATACCTKGGATTTCAGTGTACTTAGTTTGCATCACAGTGCGGTGTTTTCCAATCCAAGCCCTTGGGACCTCCTGCTCTACATTCTTAAGACGTTACTCTGCTCCAACACAGCTGAGACAAATTAATGGGTTTGCTCTCATCAGGTTCTGCAGCAGCCTGATAATTGAATCGGCCGTGTTTGAGCAGGAAAACATCTAACMYCGCAGTAGAAAGAATCCAGAGGAGCAGTGTTAAAAGAGGCCGTCTTATACAGTAGTCGCCTCTCTACATGCAGCTCTGCCATGTCACTACATGAATCCGTTAGGACGGTGAACGACCTCAGTGGTCCTCTTGTAACGTCAACACGACGCCTGCAACTTTTCTCATGACGTCATTTGTGGAATCAGGGCCGGCTCTAGTAACTTTGATATCTTAGGTGAGATTTTACGTGTTTTTTTTTAAACACAACATAAATAGTGCATAAAGAATTTAAATCAGGGCTATTCAACTGGCGGCCCGCGGGTCGAATGGTCAAAGTTCGGCCAATTGGTTCAATCATCTCTTAAGCCCAAACTCCCATTTTTCTTGACAATATTTATTCATTTAATTTAAAAACGAACAAATTCACATACAAAAAAAAATACATATCAAATCAAATTAAAGCTAGCATAAAGTAGAAAAAATCTTGTAATATCTGCCCCATTTAAAAAATTATATTAACTATAATAAAAGTTTCAAACAATTTTTCTACTTTAATTACTAAGTTCTTTTAGTTAAACATAGACATGTTTGGTATTTACAGAAGCAGAATCTTGGCTAGAAGCTGGTAAAAACCATTTCTATGAACATCCAAGACAGTTAAAACTACAAGCAGTTGAAAATAAAACTATGTACTTGAAAATAAAATTGGTTTAAAAATGTGGCAAGTCAGAGCTGTCAAAATATTATTAGTGTTAAATAGAAGGCAGAGTGTGTACTTTTAGTTTTTGATATTGTTTTCTTATCACTACATTTATTGCATAGGGTTCTGTTTGCTGTATTCATGATTAAATGCTGCAAAATAAACTATTTCAAAGGTAACAAATCTTTGTAATACTTTGTTTATTTACATAATGACTTTAGTTGCTGGATGTTCAGCCCCCGTGCTGTTGGTCTGCATTAACTGTGGACCCCGGAGCAATATAGTTGAATAGCCCTGATTTAAATTGCCCAAGTTATAAAATAAAAATGAAATTACACAAAATACAGACAAGGAATTAGAAAGACATTAAACAAAATATACAATGTAGTAACAAAGTAGGCTGAGAAACCCACAGAAAAGTTACCTTCATAAGTTGAATAAGTAGCTATTATTCTACAAAYTAAATCTACTATAATCTGATCAAAAAAAAAGTTATAAAATATATTTTTCGTCCCCCATTTGTGGTGCCCCCTACATGGACTGCACCCTCAGCATTTCCTTAGCCACGGGCCAGCCCTGTGTGTAATAAAAATACAGCCAAGCAGGAATTTATTTGATTTGTACAARTTTACAGGCCTTTCTGTTAGCACACCTATTTGYCTTTTTGCTGCTTATTTATGTCAGGAGCTGTTAAACCAGCAGCAGAGCTGTAAGCGCTGTGTGTCCGTGGTCGAGAGGAACCACTGCACCCTGCAGAGAACCATCAACAACAGCAAGGTTCTCCGAAACTTCGACCTGTTACTGCTGCAGAAGAGAGTTCAAGAGATACAAGGATCTTTACAGGTTAGTGTCCTCTCACCATCCCCATGCAGAACTGAACACCGTGCATTAATTTAACAAAAACATCACCTCAAAACACCTACGAGCTTTCTTCTCTGATCAGACGTTCGTCACTTCTCTCATTAGTCATTAGCGCGATGTAAAACAAATATTGCAATTAGCCCGTATTACCACGGAGGCCCATTACTTTCACTGTCAACCATCCTCTCAGGCTTTGCTGAAGGAGGTGGGGGAGTGGAGGAGGCAGGAGGAGGCCAATAACTGCCTGAGGAGGAGGTTTGAGGAATCACGGCAGGAGCTGGAGAGGGTGTTGAAGAAAGCTCAGGGCTGCTTGAAAGAGACCGGAGACACMGAGGGATTACTTAAAAAGCACTCAGTAAGATCAAATCTGTCCCCTTCTCCTATAAAAAACACAAATTAAGGCTGTTTTAACATTAATGTGTTACTTTTCCTAGTCATTACTCTGATATAACTCGTTAAAGGGATCCACGATTAGTTGTAACATTAAACTTTATTTGATAAAAATATATTTTAACTGTAAAATAAAGACTGTAAAAATACTGTAGGCTGTTTGGTTTTTATCATTTTTAAACTAAAAGTTTAAAAATATATTACATAGACAGGGCCATTTTATTTACACGCAAAGAATTCTGGGTAAATGATGACGTGGATAGGACCTCAGTGCGAGGCTGCTAGCGAGCTATATCCACCCTGAAGGT